GTTGGTCGTCTTTTAGCACTGTTAATTGTTTCTTTTTCTGTGCAGAAGCTTTTTAGTTTGATATAGGCCTGTTTGTTTATTTTTCCTTTGGTTGCCCATGCTTTTGGTGGCCAACAGTCATATGAAAAAATGCTCAACATCACTCAGCATCTGGGAAATGCAAATCAAAACCACACTGAGATACCATCTCACCCCAGTTAGGATGGCCAAAATCCAAAAGACGCTGAACAATAAATGCTGGCGTGGTTGCGGAGAAAAAGGAACTCTCATACATTGTTGGTGGGAATGCAAAATGGTGCAACCCCTGTGGAAAATGTTTTATGCCTTTAATTAGTCACTAAAATAAGATGCAAATAGGTTAATTCGTTTTTATAACTGAAATTAATTGAGCATGTATTAGTTAAAAAATTTTGTTTTCCTCTCATGTATATTTAGTATACTAATAACATACTATAATATATTGGGAAGTTGTCATAAGGCATAAATTTTAAATAACACTTTTGCATAGGTTAACTCTATGGAGCAAAATCTCAACAGAGTATACACTTTAATTATTCTCCTTTTGCCTAAATCATTACACTGATGATAATTTGAATCATTATATTCAAATCTGAAAACAGACTTTAATGAATAATTGTGCTTAACAGTATAACTCCTGTACATCATATAGCAGAGAATTCATAGATACATTTTTTCTCACAGTTTGTTTACCAAGGGATCAAATAAAAATTGAAATAGATATATATTTCCTCTTATACAACAGTGCTTCCTTAGGGGACACAAAATATGTGACATATAGAAATTATGTGTCAGATGGTGCCCTGCATGTGGCCTCAGCTATATATAACCTTTTCAGTGTTCCTACTTGGGCCCTAAGAAAGGTACAATTATGGGAAGTTGCTCATAGAGAAAGATAAAGACAACAAATTCTGGTAGTCCAACACATTCATACATTTTTTAAATAATAGACTTAAGGTCTGCTAATAATAAAAACATATTTATTACTATACCACAAGAGCATAATTATTATTTTGTTTTTTACAGAAATAACTTTTTAACATATGACAGATGAATTCAGAAATCATTTTTGACCTTTGTCTTTCCCTTTTTAACATTCGCTTTTGTCTAATGTAAATCATATACTAAATGTAAAATGTTTCAGAAAAGCCATAAAAGTTACTTTAGTAAAATTCTGTTCAAATTAACTTTTGTTCACTATATTTACTTAAATTACATGCTTTGAATGACAGCTTCAATTGCTGAAAGTAAGTGAGGTAGAAGTTTGCTGTAAAAATAAAGCCATTGCCTCATTTCCCAGAAATAGGTATTAACTAAAGCCATTGTTTCCTTGATTTGTGGTATATGATGACTTCCCCTTAAGTTGTATAAATGGAAATACGGTGCAAAGAAGTAGTTACCCTTCACCTGTTTAATTGTTCCCTGTTTTAGTGAAATGAATAGAGACTTTCTTCTTCCTATAGTGATAGATATAGAATTATATTAATTTTTATTGTTCCTTTAGCCTTCAAAATCCTATCTCATGAAACACAAGGAATGACTGGTAACTTGTCACAGACTACAGAATATTAAGAACACCTCACTGATGGAAAGGGGAAAATTGCCTGGTTCCTGCCAGCCAGGGGGTGAAGGAGATACATTTCTTCCTACATCTCCTACTAAGTATGCTTTTTTTGTTTTTGTCTATACCTGTTGGCATTTCTGAATTAAAGCCTTCTTTAGTGTCCAATCCCGGATATAGAGAATGCAAAAAGAAAAAACCCAGGGAAAAAAAATTTTTCACGTACCAAAGTGGCAACATTTTCATGTACTTTTGGATAACTTTTGAAAACTGCATAGAGTTGGATTTTTTAAAAAATCTGAACTGACAATTTTTGTCTTTTAACTGGAAAGTTTAATTCATTAATCTTTTTTGTGATTACTTATATACATATTTGCATTTATTTCTCATCAATTTATTATGTTTTCTATTTACCTTTTCTCCCCCTTCTTGCCTTATTTTAGATTGATTTTTTCTTTTCTTTATTTCATTTTCTTTTTCACTTACCTGCTTCCAAGTTGGATGCTCTACATCTGTGCTTTTAGTGGCTACACTATTTGATATGCATTCTTAGTACAGTCATTAGTTAATCATTTATCTTTACCTTGAGCTCTAAGAATACAAGTACCTTAGAAGATTTTAATTCTGATCATCCCCTTTCAATTTATATCCATTGTCCCTTATTTTAATTCTAGCTAGTTTTCCAAAAGATGGGCCGTTAATATTTTTATAAAGATGGATAATTTTTTTTAGTGAGCAAAATATGTTGAAAGTAGTTCCATAAATCTGAATGCATGAACTTTTTAGACTCTTTAAATAGACAAAAGGTAAATCACTTTAAAACTCTCTGTAACAGACCACAGTTAAAAGAAAAATTGTAGTTCTGGGGGAAAAAAATCTCCCTGTGTTAAAGGACTCCTTGTCTTAATTTTGCATGTTTTCTTTGATAACAAGTGAAGTATAACCTTTTTTCATTTGTTTACTGCTCATTTGCTTTTCTGTATTTTTGAAGCAGAAATATAGTATTTATGAGTCTCTAACATGCAAATTCTTGTCATATTATTAGTTCTTCCTAAATGGGCAAAGGCATGAAACTACATGCATACTTCACATTGTTTTAAGTTAAGCAGGTGTCCCCAAAGTGACGGGAATTAGTCTTTTCTCCTGGGTGGCCATGTTATTTTAATCAAACAGAAAGCTAACCCTTATTCTACAGGATAAAGTTTCTGACCATTCCATGTACTCTGTAATAATAATGACAAAGAGTAAACTTTTGGTCTCATTTGCATTTTCTATCAGAGTCTTTAAAAAACTATCCACCAGAACTACATCCTCATGCTTCTAGCAGTCATTACCCATTGCCGTGGCTATGCTAGTGTAGTAAATTCCAGCCTCCTTAGCGCCTCTAGAATTCTACCTCTGGAATTGCAGTCCTATGTACATAACATCCACCCCTTCAGTGTGAAACAAGAATATTTCTGCTTAGGAGCTAAAACAGCCTTTCATTTGTGACCATTGTCTCCTTTGAGTGACATCAGAATCGTAGCTTCTTAGTAGTTGCAGAGAACTTCTTTAGTTTGGGGACAGTTTGGCTTAGCCATTGGGATGTGGCACACTCTTCTTGCACAAGAATGACTGTCATCATAGAACTTCTGAGGCCTTATGGTGGTCCTGTGAATGAACTGATCAATAATGACATTATCACCAGCTGAGATTTCGTCTCTTGAGGTACTACAAGCCATAGTAATTATAATATGTATAGAAATCTTCGAAGCCTAGATGTTTGCCTGGGTGGTAGCCATGAGA